TCTTGTATGTTATCTCACATGGTGTTTACTCTGTGAGCCATCAGTGGTGCAGGGCTGGGGGGTGTGGAATGGAGAAAGGGTGTGAATGAAACCCTGGGTGGGCATTTATAGCCTGGGGAGATTAAATTAGTAGTCAGATTTCTACCTCGATTAAAGATGTTTGAAGTACTTTTTTTATGTGTTATGGAGTTTGTTTGGATTCAGAATGCTTTTTCTGGATTTATTTATGCCAACGCTAATGTTTTCTATAATTTACTGTATAAAGAGAAAACAGTAGGTATTAATAAATGTATACAGAGCTACGTATTTTCAGTCGACAATTTAAGATACTGTTGCCTGAGTCAATTTTTAAAAATCACAATAAGCCCAGAGAAGCTGCCAGAAATAAAAAATTATGTAGGAAATTTTATCATAGTATTATTGACGCAGCGATGTGGTAAATTTATGTGAACATTGGACTGTCCACAAAAGAGCTATTTGTAGATATCATATCAAAATGCAATTGGCTCATCTTTGGTCCTGGGCACCTTCTTCATCTACTGAGTCCAATAATGTATCCCTTACTAAGAACATGCAGAACTACCAACGAGTTAAGTGTTTTGGTCTCTGTGGCCAACATTCTTCATTTAGCCGAAGGGACTATGAAACACCCATATGAATCGTTTAACAACTATGAAATACTGATATGAATCATTATGTGCAATGTGGTACTCTTTTAATAGGGAAACCCCTTTCTGAAGCTCTGATATTTGTGCAACCAGAAAAGTTATTAACTAATAAACATGGGTGATACATACAATTTACAATCCTAGGTTGCATTTGCTGGTGTTGACTTAGAAGGGAAGTTGTTTGTGAAATACCCAAGGAGGCTGTTGAATCAGTGAGCATTACTGATTTACTGATAAAGGAGTTAATATGATACTTATTTTCCTAGTGCTTTACAGAATTTTGAATTTCATGGTCCAAAAAAAATTTTTTTCCAAGAATGAATACTTAGAAAAAAACTGTTTTTACCATTGTTTCATAAAACACTGGACAGGAAAAGTACCTGGCACGTAGCCCAGCTAACGTTTATTGAGTTAGAATAAATGGATGAATGAATGAACAACAAAAAGGTCGTGATGATATAATTTCAGAAGAAAGCCTTTAAATAGAATGTGCTTAGTTATAGAAGAAAAACCAAAATGCCTTGTCCTTACTATTCCAATGACCCCACACCCCAACAAACTCTTTTTCTTTTTTAAAAGACTTCATGTTTTAGAGAGAGGGGAAGGGAGGGGGAAAGACAGGGAGAGAAGCATTGCTCCTACTCACCCCCACCACCAGGGATTTGGCCCACAACCCAGGCCCGGGCCCTGACCAGGAATCGAACTGGTGACCTTTGCATTTGTGGGATGGCACCCAATCCATTAAGCAACATCAGTCAGGACCCCAGCAAACTCCTCATGACCTACTATCAGCCCACAGGCCGGTTTTGGGGGAAACTGTTGTACAGATGAGCAACTGAAAAGTTCACAGTTAACTGTATTCTGGACATGCTGCCTATTCCTCCAGCCACCCCCATGACGATTCCTTCCAGCCATTACCTGAGCACCTGTGGCCAAATGCATGGTGGTCTGGGATCTGAGGATGCCCCGGTGATTCAGACACAGTCTGCACTGCCAGGCTCAGTCACCTAGTTGGGGAAAGAGATGTGCTCCCTACCATCAAACCCCACCCTCGTGTTAACCAACAGTATGGTGTTGCAAGAAGACTGCCTGTTGCTAAGTGCGTGAGTGACAGAAAGAAAATAAAGATAAATTCTATGGTGAACCTGGCAGTGAGTGTTAGATAAGATCACATTTCATTCTAACTTTTGAGTCTTTTCCAATCTCTTGGGGCCTATGTTTCTAGATAAACATATTTGGGAGGGGGGTTCAGAAGCCTTAATTGTGTGGCCTTGGGCAAGTTAGTGGACTAACTTAAGTTCAATTTTTGCACTGTAAAATGAAGAGAATGGTAATATCTACCCAACGGAGTTGTTGTGAGGAAACGATAATGTTTATAAAGTGTTTAGTGCAATGGCAAGTAGTGAGCTCCTGGCTTCCTTGTTACGGTTGAACTTCAGCAGAGTGGGCTGGAGAAGGCAGTCCGTGGGCACTCCAGCTTCCAGGAAGCATTGTCGGGCTGAGGTGACCGTGCACCTGTCACAGAAATCAGGGAGACACTCCACCTGTGATCACCTGAGACGTGCTGCAGGGAGACGGAGAGCATATTTGACTTGGCGTCAAGAGCCGGGTGCTAATAGCGCCTCTTCGACTAACCAGCCGGCGTATCGTCTCAGTCCCTTCGGCTGTAAGACAGAGAAGGTGAAACCATCCTTTCCACCTGGAGGAACCTTTGTTCTGTTGCACTTTTATCTTCTCGTGCTTTGGATTTGATTGTTGATTTGGGTTTTTCCTCTGTGCTGCCAAACAAGCTTCTTATATGTGTGCATTTATTTTTCAGTTAACGATAATTTTTAATGAATCTTGATTCACCCACAGGTGAATTTCTATAGCACTTTACATATGATTTCCTTAAGACACTTGAAATGTCTGTCTTGTACTACAGGTACACGTGAGCATGTCTTATTTTCTCTGCTAGACTTTAAGCTTATTGAGAGCAAGAATTTGTTATGTAACTAACTTCTCTTAGTATTTCTAGCTCTTATAAGAATGATGATGTTTTGTTTTTTTTTTTACATGATTGGCCTCTACGTATTCTTAGTATAAATGATTGAGAAGGTGCCAATATTTTAATACTGGAAAAAAAAAGGTGGAATATGTATCTCTCCATCAAATTTGGTCATTGCCACCCCTGGTTTTTGTTCAACATAATTAGATAGGCAGGTGGAAAGATGCAGTTCTATTTTATTAAAGGCAGGGAAGCGTCTCTGTATTTTCCAGTTTTTAAAAATGAACATGTAAAATTTTGTGATTAGAAAAGTAAGATATTTTTACAGACTGGAACTGGATTTAAAGATGCTAATAAATTCTCCCCACACACACACACATTCCCATTTCATCTCCCACATTTAAGCTCTAAGTGAAGAATATGAATGAGACATTCAGTCACAGGCATACATTTATATAGTGTTGCTATTTGGCCAGTTCAAACAGAGCCCACCTTTCTTCATGTTTATGGAAAGAACTGTTTTAGAAATTAATATTTTTAAATGCACATAGAATGGTTTATTTGACACAACACCAAAAGCACAAGTGACAAAAGGAAAAATAAATTAAAAAAAATAGAAATAGAAAAATAGACATCACACCAGAAGTAAAAACCTTTGTGCCTCAGAGGATGCTATCAAGAAAGTGAAAAGCCAACTTACAGCATGGGAGAAATTATTTGGAAACAATTTGCCCGGAAAAGGGCTTGAATGTAAAATACAGAAAGACCCTGGCTGGCGTGGCTCCGTGGATGGCGTGGCTCCGTGGATGGTGTGGCTCCGTGGATGGCGCCAGCCTGCGAACCAAAGGGTGGGAGTGCCAAAGCAGCCCCGCCCTGGCTCAGTTCTTCCCTCTACCATTTCCAGAGAGCCAAAGCAGCCCCACCTAGGTTCTTCTGTTGCTTCTTTTATCTTAAGCCCTTCCTTGTTTCGCTGTCCCAACTTTAATTGTTTTTTAAAAAGTAAATATACAGATGGGAAATAAGTATGTGAAAAGATGCTCAACATCATGCCCTGGTAGGGAATTGCAAATCTAAATGATATATCACTACACACCTATGAGAACGGCCCAAATCCCAAACACTGATAATGCCGGAATCGGGAGAGGAGCTGGAGCTGCCCAAACTCCATCCCCTGCTGGGGGGTGGTGGGGGTGGTGGGGGTGGGGGAGGTGGAACGCAAAAAAAACGGCATGGCCACTTTGGAAGACAGTTTGGCGGTTTCTTATAAAACTAAACAGACTCTTACCATCTGATCCTGCAATCATGCTCCTTGGTATTTGCCCAAACTATTTGAAAACGTATGTTCACACGAAAGGCTGCACATGGATATTTATAGCAGCTTTATTTATATTTACAACACTTGGAAGCAACCAAGATGTCCTTCGGGAGGTGCATCGGTAAATAAACCATGACACATCCAGACGACAGTGTATTATTCAGCGCTAAAGAGAAACGAGCTATCCAGCCCTGAAATGTCATGGAAGAATCTTAAACGCGTATTACCAAGTGAAAGAAGCCAGTCTGAAAAGGCCTCTATAATATATGTCAGCTACATGAGATTCTGGAAAAGACAAAACTACGAAGACAATGAAAAGATCGGTGGTTGCCAAAGTTAGGGAGGATAGAGTGGTGAACAGGCAGGGCATGGAGGGTTTTTTGGACAGGGAAGTTATTCTGCACATAATACTATAATAGTAGATACATGTCATTCATCAAAATGTACAGCATGCATAGCACCAAGGGTGAGCCCCGCTGTAAACGATGGACTCTGAGTGGTCATGATGCGTCAGTGTAGTTTCATCAATTGCAACCAAGTGTAACAGTTTTGATACTTGACAGTAGGGGAGGTGGTGTGTGTGGGGGGCGGGGGCAGAGAGTATATGAGAACTCTTTGTGCTTTCTGCTCAGTTTTTCTGTGAACCTAAGACTTCTTTAAAAAATGAAATCTATTACCTCCCTCTGGGGGGATTTCCACAGCCCATGTATCCCTCCCAATTTTTATCCACCGCCTGTGAGTATGGGACCAGGCCATTCCTTGTCTCCACCTCTCCTACCAGACTCGATGTGGCTTCTTCTCTATATCCTTACTTGTAGAACTTCTGTTCAGGGAGATTTCAGGTAGTTCTGAATGGTGGTTGTTCTGTGGCTTATTTGTATTGAATATTTTTGACGCGGCTGTGGGAGGATGGGTATAGCGCATGCACCTACACTGCCACCTTTTTGCCCCTGGTGGCTGGAGTTTTCTAGTTGCGGTGCTTGGTGGCCAGGATGCCAGGTAGGCCTCATCTGTCGTGTCTTCTCCCCAGTGTCCAACAAGCACCCGTTCGTGGACAGCAATCTTCTCTACCAGTTCCGAATGAACTTCCGGCGGCGGCGGAGGCTCATGGAGCTGCTCAATGAGAAGTCCCCGTCCCAGGAAACGCATGACAGTCCCTTCTGCCTGAGGAAGCAGAGCCACGACAATCGGAAGTCTACCAGTTTTATGTCAGGTAGGTCGGTTCCACAGTCCCCTTGATTACACGCTTTTGGCTCTGGACAAATAGTACAGTAAGAACTCCCCTTTGTGAGATTCTGTTCTCTGGCAAATTTTTATTTATTCATAACCAAGAAGTATGTGAAAGAAGAAAAAAAAAACAAACACAACCAGATTGTCCCCAAGGAGTCAAATTGGAGATCATGAAGTCTGTTATAAAATTATGTATTTGAATCATAGAAGACTTCCCAAGCTCTCACTCCTACCTTATTTATTTGCTTTTCATTTATAAATAATTGTTGTCATTCGTTGTCCAGTGTTCTAAATCACAGCATTGAAAAGCTATATACTTTAAGGATGAATAAAGACTTTTGAGGGCATACGTAACTAACAGGCAGCTGAGGTCAGTCCATTATGAAGGGGTGACGCAGAACGAAGAGAAACGTGACAGTCAGACGCACGGCCTCACAAGGCACAGTAGCCTGAATGTCACCTGTCAGGTCAAACAGTCTCATCCTGACAATCAGCCCTGACGGGAAGGATGGTGGCTGATGCTCACCAGGACGACTGCGCTCATTCAGAAGAGGTCAGCTTGCCATGTCACTCTGTGTAAGAAGCCGAGGTGCTTCCAGGGGCATCTTAGCTCCTCTGAAAACTTGGCGTTGACTGTGGTTGGCCTAAGGTCTGGAAGCTCTGGGCTTAACCTGAGGGGCAGAATGACCGTGCATGTCTTAGTTACGTAGAGGAAGAGACGATGAGAACACTTGCGACTCTGTTGAGAATGTCCTGTGCCCCCGTCACCGAGTCAAGCTTGGCTGCATGAACTTTCTCATTTAATTCTCACAATAACTTGAAGAAGAAAGACTTTTTCTTCCACTGAGAACATTCCTCTGCAGAAACTTTTCAGATGATCCAGAAGACTTTGGGGGACAATGGGATGAGTGCAGCCCAAATGAAAGTGTGGCACGAATGCTTCAAAGTTGCGGCAAGAACAGAACCATGTTAACTGCACCTTTTGATTGGGAAGGTGCTGTCCATCACAGGTGCACCCCTCCAGGCCAAACAATTAATAAGGGGTGCGACCTCAATGTTCTTTGTCGAGAGATGCAATATGCTGAAAGTGGCCACAGCTATGGGAAACTGGTGATCGGCAGCTTCATCACGACAATGCACCCACTCATGCATTACGTCTTGTGCAGAGTTTTTTTTGCAAAATATCAATTTACCCAGGTGACTCAGGCCCCCTACAGCCCAGATTTCATGCCCTGTGACTTCTGGCTTTTCCCAAAACTAAAATCACCTTTGAAAGGGAAGGGATTTCAGACTGTCAATGAGATTCAGGAAAACATGACGAGACAACTGATGGTGATTCCAGCAAAGGATTTTGCTGAGTGTTTTGAACAGTGGAAGGGACGCTGGGAGAACTATGTGAGGTCCTGAGGTGCCTACTTTGGAAGGGACTGAGGCATCATCATCCTCTGTACAAAGTTTCTTGTGTCTTGTATCTTCTGCAATTAATATCTCAATTTCCTGTAGCACATGGTTGGATACCTTCTAGACAGACCTCATATGCCTGGCTCCCCTCTCCCTTGTTGAGAGCCAGCCAACTTTGTGGCAGAAAGAACCAGATCAGATCATTGGAGCCTCTGACTCACATCCCCTTCAAAGCCTAAACATGTGCTGTGTATTTTAATCTCCTCTTCTATCGCTCTGGGTGATTCATGATTTCTTATGAAATCAGGTAACACTTATTAGTACTGTAATTCATTAAGTGTATAGCCAGCACTTAATGTACTTCCTACCAGGGACTGCTCAGCACGGGCTTAGGGGTTCTTGAAATAATGTTTTATGTCGCTGAGTACTTGTACCTACACTATAGAATCCACTCCTTGCACCAATCCTGAGACGGAGTTATTCCCACTTTACAGCTCGGAAAATTGAGGCTCCCAGAACTTAAGAGAATGGCCTCAGGTTGTGCAATTGGTGAGTGGCAGAGTTGCTACTCAAATCCTTGCTTTTCAAACTCTGCTGCCAGAGTCCTTTCTCTGGCACAGGTGTCTTGCCTCACTGTGCCTCACAGCTGAAAGCCCACAGGCTCTAGGGACCCCCAAGCTCAGTGACCGTGTGCTTTGCGCCTGCAGTCAGCCCCAGCAAGGAGATCAAGATCGTGTCTGCGGTGAGGAGGAGCAGCATGAGCAGCTGTGGCAGCAGTGGCTACTTCAGCAGCAGCCCCACGCTCAGCAGCAGCCCCCCTGTGCTCTGCAACCCCAAGTCTGGTGAGTGGCCAAAACGTAGCGCCCCTTTCTGACTTGGACAGATGTGCAGGCTGGGTTCCCTGGGAAGCGGATTCTCGGATGGAGGGAGACCACTGTGTGGGGATCTTATTACCACGTGTCCTTGGGGTCAAGAACTATTGACTGGAAGGGAGGGACGAGGGGCTGGCAGGGGAGCGCTGAGCTGCAAGCAGTCTCAGTGAAGACCCCCAGGGGAGCTCTGGAGTTGGGATGGCCCTTCAGAGTAGTCCAGATTGGGAGCGAGGTGGCATGGCCTTTGTACCCTCATGCTGAGCAGTCATTAGGTGTTGGCTGCCCCTGGGAGGAGGGTGTGACCTTGAGCAGGAGAGAGAGTTGCAGAGACAGTTGAGGGCATGGGCAGTGTGAGAGCTGTCTGCCATTAGCTGTCCCAGCAGCCGGGTGGGCCCTGAGGCAAGGTCTGAGCAGCACGTCAGTACTGCACACAGTGGGGGAAGTGGGGATTTCCCGGCCTGCAACTGAGGCAGACATCTGTGGGGCCCCCGCACCCCTAAAGAAGAAGACCTGAGGGTCTACGTGAACCCAATTGTACCTGGACCTGACCCTTGGTGCCTTATGGTTTCCACCTCTGCTCATCAACCTCTGTGGCCTTTACACTCCAGAAAAAATCTGGGCACAAAGATTGTTGATGAACTTGAACTTAAGAAGCAGTCCTTCCTTGACTTAATCAGTTTTTTGGCCCCATAGGAACCTGTAACCCATTGGTCCTACCAGCTTGTCACGGCCCTCTTGCTTTCCTTTACCTTGCTCCATTTCTTCTTCTTTCCATAGCTCTGTGAGTTAGGGTTAGGCTCACTTATGTCCCCGAATATTTTCTGTCTTAACTCCACTGGAGTATAAACTGTGAGGTGGGGACCCGCCCCCCCTTTTGTTCACTGATGGTCACATATGCGCATTCGGTAAAATATCTGCTGAATGAATGAATGAACAAGGACTCAGAAGGGTGCACCTTGACATTGTGTCTGCCTTACAGTGTTAAAGAGACCCGTCACTTCTGAGGAACTCCTGACTCCCGGAGCCCCGTATGCAAGGAAGACGTTCACGGTAGGCTCATTACTTGGTCTTTCTCCTGTGCTGCTTGTCTTCCTGGGCCATGTCCATGTGTCCTCGTGTCCGTGTGTATTCACAGATGGACTTGAAGAACGACTTAGTTTTCCTTTTGTTTTGGCATAATTATACCAGTGGACTTTCTTGACCCTTGGGCACTAGAATACTTTAGGATTTGACATGTGTTATTAATACAGCACTTTAAACTCCTTTTGATGTGTCCTTAAAAACGATTTCTATTGTGTATTTACTATAATATAATTACAGCTTTTAGAGCAAATGGTAGTACAAATACTGCCAATAACTCCTTTTGTGTTACAGTTAAGTCTACAAATTGTTAAGACGTGAGGAGACCCTTTAGGCAGAGAAAGAAAACTGTGGGATAAATTGTTCTACCTTAAGGAGTGGTGCTTTTGACAGTGTCAGCATGCCTTGAGTTATACAAGCAAGCACCTGATGGGGAGGGGGGCAGGGCGCACCACACACCTGCAAGCGAGCACCTCCTGACCACCCCACCACCTTCTCGGAGGTCTTTCAGCCTTCCCCCCGCCCCCCACACCTACCAGCCCCACTGGGTTTCTTCAAGCAGAACCCAAGTTCTCTGCTTGACAGCGCCTCACCCACTCTCCTTCCCCTGGCCTCTTTCTTCAGTCTCTTCACGTCTTCATCGACCTCCTGTTTCGAACACTTCTCCTCTTCTAACTCTTATTTTGACTCAGGGGGGAAAAAATCTTTGCACACTCATTCACACTGCAAACATTTGTCAAGGACTGCTTCCCCCTGTGAGCACTGAGGAGTTAAAACAGGACGGTGCCAGTCACAGCCAGTCCGCGTGAAAACACACTGCTAACCCCTCTGCCTCAGGGGAAAAGGCAAACTGTGCATCTGGAGGTGAAATTAGGTATAACGCGCTAGTAGCAGCAAACCCTAAAGCCAATCGAGTGCCTGAAAGTCTTTTTTGAGAATGTCCACAAAATTTGCATTGGTTTCCCTGCCTTTCCTGAGTCTTCAGCATTCAAGCATTGTATTTTTGGTTTCCAGTTTCAGTGCCAGTATTGCTAGGAACTGATTGTGAGTGTGTTTCATCTGTATTTCAAAGACAGGTCTGGCAGCCGCCCTGGACCATCACCGCCGTTTCTGAGAATGACTCTATAGGAAGAGGCAGACAAGTCTCGGACCAGCCTCTACTTATACATTGTGAACTTTGCGTAGTTTTTTACTTTTTTTGTTGGTAGAGAAAACTGTGTTTCAAGAAAGTCACGACTCTTCCTATTTCTCACCATTAGTAATTTAAAGTGTTACTTTCGACTTCAGTGAAGTAGCAGGGTCATGAAGCATGTATCACTCGGATTTAGGGGGAAAGAGCAAACTCAACAGAAATTGGGTCTGGAGAGAAGGTTCACACGTGTGTGTAAGACCTTCCGCACTGAGCATTTAAGTCCGATATGAAGTTGCAGAGCAGCCGCAGAGGCCCTCTGCCAGCGCTTTATTGAGCAGTGCCCTCACGGAAGGAGCCTCTTTCTGCCGAACACGTGTTTCTTGACCACATTTCCCGCAGAGATATGCCTGTGTTTACAGTGGAAGCAAAGTGTTCCTTCCGCTGCCCTGACAGCGCAGAGACGAAGCAGAGAAGGGATGTGTCAGGGTGCACACTTAATCCCGGGCTGGCATGCTCTCGTGCCCTCTCTCTCTCTCTCTCTCTCTCTCTCTCTCTCTCTCTCTCTCTCTCTCTCTCTCTCTCTCTCTCTCTCTCTCCGCCCCCCGAAGGACAGGCAAGCTGCCAGGGCCTGTCTGTGGATGGCTAATTGTGGTTTTCCTCTCCAGATCGTGGGTGACGCTGTCGGCTGGGGCTTCGTGGTGCGAGGAAGCAAGCCGTGCCACATCCAGGCCGTGGACCCCAGTGGCCCCGCAGCCGCGGCAGGAATGAAGGTACCTCCGACAGAGCAGTGCCTGAATACCGCGCGCTTTACTTTATCATTGGTGCCATCAGTCCTTTCTCACCCTAAGTGTTCGGTCCCGTTTTGTCAAGTTTCCTTTTCCCTTTCTGAATGGGGCTGAGGTAGAGCCAAGAGCGGGTGATGCAGCAACGCGGGCGAGAAGTTTTCCTGTCCCTCCCCCCGAGCCTTCTTGGTCTCCAAACCTCCCTCGGTTTCTCACCTTCCTTCCCTTAACCAACACTGAGCATGAAAAAAGAGTTTCTTTTGGCTCAAATCTTACATAATAACTGTATTGCTTCTGTTCCATACAAAGCATATCCCTGAGAGGTTGGTGCAGCCGGCAGGGTGCACCCGACCACAGAAGCAGCGAAGAGTGAGGAAAAGGACACACAAATGGTGGAATGTGGAAGAACTCGAGATTCACATTGTGGTTCCGCTGGTCACTAGCTCATTGACTTTGAATGAGTTCCTGACATCTCGGAGCCGTTTCCTCCTCTCTGGAACCATAAGCACATTCTTCTGCAGCTTTAGGAATTAGATGTGTAGAAACACTTGATGAAGTACAAAGCACAACACAAACATCAAAAAAATTCACACATGAATTGGGTGAGATTGTAAAAATAACTTCCATGTATTTTTAATACTAAAGTAGTGCATACATAGTCGAGAGAATTTGGAAAAGACAGGCAAGCAGAAAAGGAAAAGAGAATTGCCTATAATCTCTCCTAACTCAGAGATAAGCACTGTTAACACTTAAGCAGCTTTATTGAAGTGTAATTGACATACAATAAAGTGTAGCATGGTTAGCATTTTCATTTACATGCTTCCAGACTTCTTATGTGAATGTATGCATATATGTGTGTGTGTGTACACAAACATGCACTATACATCTGTATACACACATATAAATTGTTTTTATTTATACCAAAATGTGATATAAGAGGATGTTGATTGCATTGGTTTTCTGCTCCCAAAACACTTTTTATCTAGCATAGTTTTTTTTTCTTTTTTCTGTCATCTGTAAAACATTCCACAGAGGACATTTACTGCGTGATTACCTGGGACCACAGGGGGTTGCAGAAGGCTTGAAGGCTACAGATCCCGCCCCTGTGCATTTCTTCACTACTTTTACCCTCCGCCGTCAGCCCTTTTCCTAGAGCGGTCAACCGGGAGAGTGCCAGGCGGGACTTGGGTCTGCACAGCTCTGATTTCCAGCACCTTCCCCCTGGCGTTGCTTTATTTGCTGGAACAGAAGGGTGGGAGCAGAAGCCACCTCATAGGGGCGCAGAGCACAGGTTACTGCCAGTCTGGGGGTCAGCACTGGTGGGATTTGAGGGTGACTCTGCACCCCCACCCCCACCCCGAGTCAACACCTCGTTCGTACAGGGAGGCACAGTTTCCCCGGGTCCTGTGCTCTGTCTGGGTAAGTTCCGGAAGCCTTGTTGGCTCAGGTGGTCTGTGTCAGAGGCTCCTCCTGGGCTCTGCAGTGGGCTCCGCTCCAAAGGAACCCGAAGCAGGAAAGTTGGCCAGGAGCATCCAGGGCGAGTGTTTGTATCTGCGTGGAGGCTGATTTGTTCATTTTCTAATGGAACTCTTGGCTGTGGGAAGAGTTTTATGCTTTATTTCCACGGTAAAGCACCTAGGATAAATGGTTTTTGGCTGAGTGCTTTAGTCCTAAGTGTGCACTCGCTTGCCGTGGGGCCCTGGTTTAAGCTGGTTTCCTTCGGGGGAAAGCAAGGGACTGATATTGCAGCTACAGACCTTGTTTTGCTTGGTCAGTGTGTTACATTGATTTGAGTGCATCCTTATTGACTTAATGAGTTAATTAGCTTATTAACTAAATCAATAAGTTAATCCTTATTGATTAACACATATACCTGATGTAGGCATTGTCAACTGATTAATTAGTTAACTCTTTAATGTAGCATACCCTGATAGGTGGGCAACCTGGCATCATTTTTTCCAGCTGCATAACCTCATATTTCACATGGTTTGTATCCTGAGTTTCCCAGGGTGCGCACAGTAGTTTTCATGCATCATAGAGCAGCGCGGAATTCACGGGAGCCGCGTTCCCAAAACTGCGCTGCACAGCTCTCTGGTCCCACAGAATATCCTGTCCTGAGGTTCCGTGATCAAAACAGTGTTAAGCTCCTGTACACTTTATTCTTGTCTTGGAAATTCAGAGAGCACGTTAGCATATTATGAAGCCTATTACATCCAGCAGCGAAAAAAACTGAATTGCGTATCACAACATTTTATCATTTAATAGAAAACACACCAGTGGCATCTTAAGATTGTTAAGACATGGCACCGTGTATCACTGTTCTAAGGATCCGCTTTCGGTCAAACTCTGTGTTGGAATGAATGGGTAGATAGAGATGTAGGCACGACTTTGAATTGTACTGTTGGTGAAGTGAAAACGACAGGGAATATCCTGCCCTTCCATGGACTTTATTCAAGTCCATGGACTGTGTGTATTCATTCAAGTCGCCCAGTATATTCTTTTCTTATAGAAAACACCGAATACATTATTTCCAGTTTTGCCATATGTGCCGGTGATAGAGTAACTCCGTTCGCCTGAAGAGCCATGTGTATAACCCAGTGCTAGCGGTGGCTTCCACTGAACCCTCACTCCTGCACGGCCCTGTGTGGAAAACCGCAGGGTGGCAAGTGTGGTTGTGGTGGGTGGGGACGTGGGTGCCGACCCTGAGGAGTGTGCCCTGGCCTGGCAGTGGTTGAGCTGCTCGGTCTGGCTGGTAGCAATTGTCCAAGATTCTGGCCAGTGGCTTCCCCTTGGCACCTCTGACTGGCGAGAGCTGGCCCAGGACAGTGCCAGGTGCCCCGCTTTGCCTCTGTTGCAGGCTGCCGCCAGGCTGTGGCCCCCTCCCATCTCCTGCTCTCCAGCAGCAGGGCCTGCAGGGGGGCCTTGGGGACCTCTGCCTCCAGGGGGTTCTTATGCTGTCCCTGTGGCCGCATCACTTCGCTGCTTTCTCATGTGTGCCATCTCTCTCTCTTTATTCCACCTATTTATGGGCGTGGGGATGTTTTAAGATGTGGGCCACCGGTATGTGGAAAGCACAGGCCTCAGACTGAGGAGACGGGGTGCCATTTTCCCCCTATGAACACTTCTAGACCTTTCCATGCCCCAAGGAGAGCTCTGTGCCTGCTGGAAATGGGACCCTTAGTCAGCGATGAGGGGAGACCCTCAGGTGCCTGTTGAAATTTATGTCCGTTACAAAGCCTAGAAGAACTCTACAGAAAATGGGTCTTTAAGGAGAGTGATAAGGTATATCACAATTCTTTTCTGGATTGGACTAGAGAAATCCGTGACCTTTGTGCCTTGACCACCTGACGCCCATGCACCCAGCACAATTCATGCCTGCGGCCTCTACACAGCTGACCTTGGCTTGCGGGGGCCGGGCGGGCAGCTGACCTGTAGGACAGGCTTGCTGAGATGTGGGTAAGTGTATAGAGCAGGAAGGGTTGCAACCTGATATCAGTTGTCAGTGGAATTGAGTTTCGGTATTTTGATCAAATATTAGACTTTTGCACTGTTTCAAGCTTGTTTGAAAATTGTGCCTTTACTCCACCGTTTTTCGTCTTTCCTTCGATGAGCTTTTCCTCTTCATCAGTAGTAGCATATTTGTTCCAAGAGACCAAAAAAGAAGCCGATGTCACAAGAGGCTCCAAACTATAACCTGATCTTTACCGTGGTCTGAATCGAGACCCACATAAAAGAGAGAGCAACTCGTTACAGCTTTTTTTAACAAGTTACTGTATCATTTCATAATACTGTCCTCCCCTCCCATGCTCATAAAATAACGGCTATGCTGTCATTGAAATTCTAACGTGAGCCAGCATCTTTGGATTTGGGGTCATTCTTATTTTGAAGGTTCTTTTACTTTAAAAAATGATGAAATACCTAAACCTCCAGTATAGAGACATTTCATTGGCATTACAACTAGAATGGAGAATGCAATATGGGAATCACCAAAAGTTGAGTCAACCCCTGCAGTGCGTTTTTATCTAGAAGAGGGTGGTTTTCTCTGGCAACTCTCCCCCTACCCCCATCCTTCAGGAATTGCATACCAGTAGCTTCTGGTCCAGGGAGGAGAGAAGAGGAGGAACTAGAATTTATTGAGTGCCTTCTGCTTGCCTGACCCTGTGCCATGCCAGGCCCTTTACCTACGTGAATTCATTTAATGTCAGCATCTACGCACTGAAGCCTTGGAGGAAGAAACCTGATCCAGGAGGTGGAACTCTATTTCTTACCTCATTTTTCTGCTTTGAAAAGGATAAGGTTTCTTCCAAAGATATTCCACAGGCTACCGTTTAATGACTCTCACTTAAATGTGGCTTCATATCACAATCTTTAACAACATCTTCTATTCTTTCTTTTTTTAAAAAAAATCACATCCATTTTCAAACCATTTCTGGACCACATTACCATGACTTTATTTTACATGATCTTCTAGGAGCTTTTCTTCAGTTTAATGGAGGCAGGTTTTTTTAAATTTCACAAACAGATCATAATCTTGCCTATGTCTGCCCCTCAAGCAAATCTAATTAAGTGGCTCTGGCACTTAAAATCCTCTAATAGGTCCTCGTTAGGATAAGTTCCAGACTCTGGCCAACAGAGTTAGGATCTGGGTGCTGCGGGCCATTCCCTTATCTGCTGCCCTGTTTTGCTCACAGCACCCTTGGCCTTGCTGCCTGAGGCTGGACCACTGGTTCTATTGTTGTGGTTCAAGTGTCAGATTACATGTCAATTTGAGGGGGGGGGTCCTTCTTTAAATACCCTTTGATATTCTCCCTGTCTTCCTCCAGTAGCTCTTTATCATAATCCCATTTGATTTGTTTAAAACATACTGTTTATCAGAATCTGATAATAGTACTTAGATGCTACCCACCTCCAGTAGCTCGATAAATGGAGAGACTTTGTCTGCCTAGAAGAGTGTGTTCCCTGAATGTGGCAGGATTCCTGGCATTTAG